CACTTGAAGTTTCTCTTTCTCCACCTACACTGTGCTACTAAATTCTCTGAATTCCCTGAACCTCAATGATATGGTTTGGATCATGGTCCCTAAAAGCAGGGATTGATAATATTGAAAATTGAACTTAAACCAACTCTGACCTTTTTGAAGAACCTAAATATTTATGGGTCTCTTCTTCCACTGACATAGGAAATTAAAAGTGCTGAACCTATAAAAATCCAAATAGACTACATTAGTCTATTTTGTGTAATTATAAAGAAATACCTGCTGGGCATGGTGGCTCAAGCCTGTAATCCCAGCAATTTGGGAGGCCAAGGTGGGAGGATAACTTGAGTCAAGGATTTTTAGAACTGACTGGACAACATAGTGATACCCTGTTTCTACAAAAAATTTAAAAAATTAGCCAGGCATGGTGGCATGCACCTGTAGTCCCAGCTACTCAGGAGGCTGAGGTGGGAGGAGCAGTTGAGCTTGGGAGGTTGAGGCTGCACTGAATCATGACCTCACCACTGCACTGCAGCCTGGGCAACAGAGTGAGACCATGGAGAGAGAGAGAGAGACAGAGAGAGAGGAGGGGAGGGGAGGGGAGAAAAGAAAAAAGATAGGAACACTTTTATACTGTTGGTGGGAATGCAAATTAGTTATTTGCACAATTATTGTGGAAGGCAGTGTCGCAATTCCTCAAAGACCTAGAACCAGAGATACCATTTAACATAGCAATCCCATTATTGGGTATATACCCAAAGGAATATAAATCATTCTATTATGAAGAAACATCTATGTGTATGTGCACTGCAACACTATTCACAATAGCAAAGACATGGAATCAATCTAGATGCCCATCAGTGACAGTCTGGATAAAGAAAATGTGGTATATATCCACCATGGAATACTATGCAGCCATAAAAAGAATGAGATCATGTCCTTTGCAGGGACATGGATGGAGCTGGAAGCCATTATCCTCAGCAAACTAATGCAGGAACAGAAAATTGCATATTCTTACTCATAGGTGGGAGCTGAACAATGAGAACACATGGACACATGGAAGGGAACAACACATTCTGGGGCCTATCGGGGTGGGGAGACCATTAGGAAAAATAGCTAATGCATGCTGGTAAGTTATACTTAGGTGATGGGTTGATAGGTACCGAAAACCACCGTGGCACACATTTACCTATGTAACAAACCTGGACATTCTGCACACATATCCTGGAACTTCCAAAAAAAAAAAAAAAAAATAACTATCTAAAAAAAAAAAAAAAAAAACAACAAAAAAGTATATAAAAAAAAAAATTAAAAAAAAAAAAAAAGAAAGAAAAAAAGAAATATTCAGGAAGGAATCAGGGATGGTGAAAGCTAGGCTTACATGGGTCCTACTACAGATGGGCAGCTGTCTGGTTCATGGGACAATTTATGGTTAATGGACGTGGCCTGTAGCCCTTATGGGATGGGGACAGGAACAAAATGTTAAAAACATAAGAAAATTATTAAAGATCCACATTTATAAGCAGTATTTATATACATAGAGATGAGACACATCCCACTTTAAATATAGGAAAGGGTGATGGGAAGGTTTTTCAAGTTGGTATAAAGTGTGAGTCTATAAAGAACCCTTCAATTAGGAGAGTAAGTAAGGTTTGTGGCAAGATAGAGACCTATTTAGGGGTCCATTGCTGAACTGAAATTTGAAAAGGGGTTCTTTTAGGAGACCACTCTGACTCTAAATTAAATCATCTATCTTGGGCCTATCAGGGAAATTAGTTTTATTCAATGCCTCTTTCAAGAGTCCAGCTTTGTGTATCCTGACACGTGAAATGGTTACTATAGCGCCCCGGTTACCATCAGTAGTGACTACAACTCCAGACAGAATAATGAATGATAAGGATACATCTGTTTACACATTTGCTTGCAGGCAACACTTCTGCCATTACTACTACTGGTGGACTTACAGAATGCCTTTTCTACAACCATGGTTATTACAACACAGGATTGCTACTGATCAAGGAACAACTCTTCACAACAAAGGAAGCACCTCAGTGGGTCCACGCTCAGGGAATTAACTTGTCTTACCATGTTCCCCACCATCCTGAAGCAGTCGGTTTGACAGACTAATGGAGTGGCCTTTTGAAGACTCAAAATATCAGCTAGGTGGCAAGAACTTGTAGGGATGGAACTACATTCCCTAGAAGGCTGTATATGCTCTGAATCAGTATCCAGTATTAGTACTGTTTCTCCTGTAGCCATAATTCACAAGTTCAAAAATCAAGGGGTCAAATGAGAGTAGCAGCCCCATTATTACCCCTAGCAACCCACTAGCAAAGGTTTTGCATCCTGTTCTCATGATTGTGCTCTTAGGTCTTACTTCTGAAGGGGGAAATCTTCCACTCAGAGACACCCTCGTGATTCCACTGAACTGCAAGGCTGCCACTAGCCACTTTGGGCTACTCATGCCTCTGAATCAACCAGCAAGGAGGGATTTACCGGCTGGGGTGATTGATCCTGACTACCGAGTGGAATTTGGACTACTCTTTTATAAGGAAGAGTATGTCTGGAATACAGGAGGTTTCTGCAAAATTTTATTGAAATTATAATGGTCTTATGTGTCCTTAGGCAGGAATGGCATCTTTACAGAATTGAGTTTCTAATTAATGAACATGACTTATCTCTCCATTTACTCAGATCTTTTAAATTTTCTCTAAAGTTTTTCTGGGGAAATAATATACATCTGTCATTATATTAATTCCTTGGTACATATTTTTATAATACTGTATTTATTTTAAAGTTGATTTTTGCTTCGTGTAGCTGGCTATTCTAGCAGGTATGCAATGGGCTGAGCTATTCGGCTGTAATGAGATGTACCTGCATGGCAGCGACTCCTAACTGAGGTGTCAAATATACAGATTAATAAGTGAATCCAAGCTGAGTTTGGGTGTGGTTGGTACCATCTCATCACCATTGCTATTGGTAGTAGTAAAACTGATGATTAAACAGGTTCCCACCTGGTGTTGGTGAAAACATAGGTGATCTGCTGTTGGGAGCTGGTTAATAGTGAGAATATGTCTACATGATCAGCAGTGCATATAAGCAGCCCAGCTTACACTATACTCCTACACTACAGCTCCAAATAGTGTAGAGAACCAGAACAGCTCCCCCATTCTGAGGTGTTCTATGCACACAGCTGATTTCTCTTCTGAGGAAGTACATTCTGACACAACCTTGCAAGAGAAAAAATATAGCTCATACCAGCCTCTCCCGCTCCTTCACTGTGAGACAGCCTCTGGCTGAGAGGATTATCCTTACCTGATGCACATCATTACTTTGTTACTGGTTTATTGTATCCTTTTCTATCAACCAACTGTAGATTCTTTTTTTTTTTTCTTTTATTTTCTTTTTTTAAGACGGGGTTTCACCCTGTTGGTCAGGCTGGTCTTGAACTCCTGACCTCAGGTGATCCGCCCGCCTTGGCCTCCAAAGTGCTTGGATTACAGGCGTGAGCCACCACGCCCGGCTCCCAGCTGTAGATTCTTAAGTGATGTATTTTGTGGGTCCTTTGCCGTAGCACTGAGACATAAAGGTGATTTAAAAATATTGACCTATATTGTTCAACACCCACCTATGAGCGATGGACACAGGGAGGGGAGCATCACACACTGGGGTCTGTTGGGGGGAAATAGGGGAGGGACAGCTGGGGGTGGGGAGTTGGGGAGAGATAGTATGGGGAGAAATGCCAGATACAGGTGATGGGGAGGAAGGCAGCACATCACACTGCCATGTGTGTACCTATGCAATCTTGCATGTTCTTCACACGTACCTCAAACCTAAAATGCAATAAAAAAAATTGATCTATATTTAGCAAACTTTTATACCCATTTAGATGTTCTGAAATTTATCTGTAGATTATTTTAGATTTATAAAGCATATAGCCATAAATCCATGTTTTAACTATTTCACTGTATTATAGTGAACTTTCAGTGTGATAAATAGTATTTGAATATTGCAGACATCCTTGAATTATTCCCAACATGAAATTCTTCAAACATCTCACAAACAAATCTAAGGAAAGTTGCCTATTTATTTTCTTATGAGTCTTTTTTTTTCACATGAATAGGTGTTGAACTGTGTCAAAGGCCTTTTATTCATTAACTGAACAATCATTGGTTGATTTTTTTAAAAAAAATTGTAGTGAACCAACAAAAGCTAAAAAGTTCCTTCTAATCATGGGCTTACTCAATTGCAGTTTAAAATGTGGTGTCTTCATTGCCATTCAGTTCAACGTACTTTCTAACTTCCACTTGATTTAAAAGTCATGTTTGATAGTGTATTGCCAGTTTGTTTAAAACAGGTGTGATTAACTGCATCTTAGAGAACTCGTCTCTCCTGGACTGACTGAAGAATTTCTGTACTTTGCCACGTTCCATTTTTCCATGAAAACAATGCTCTCCAGTGAGCCTCTCAACTCTGCCATGTCACTGGTCTACCCGGTCTGGGAGCCTATCAAGAAAAGAGATCTCTCTGTCATTAATTCAATGTATTGTGATTCAGGAGATGCAGACTTTGACTCCCATCATTGGCCTTAATTGGATCAATGCTTTTCAGTGAATTTCAAACACGCATCAGAGGCACATGATTTACATCCTAGTTGATTGACTCCCTGCACGCTGAGGACTTCCATCATGTTCCCGTCCAAAAGTGCCTTAGTTATACATTTTGTGTCCCTGAGAGCACAAACTACACAACTAACTGGTAAGGACCACCATATGGAACTGACTGATTTTGAACCCCAGCTCACTGGTTCTCATTTTTCTTTCTTTCTTTCTTTCTTTTTTTTTTTTTTGATTTCTGGGAGTCTATAGTCCAGACCTGTAACGAAGGAATTGAAGAAATAACCACAAGGTGTGTGTATGTGTGTATGGAAGTGGGTTCCAGACCTCCTGGGCACACTGTGAGAGCATCAGGTGTGCACCCCTCTGCCTGGGGACCCAGAGATGAGCAATCCGGAGACCAGGAGGTTAAGGAAGCATTTATTGAAAACCTGTGGTATATCTCTGGCCCAGACCAAGAGGCAAAGTCAAGCAGAGGCTTCAATCAGTCACAGGAGCCTGGAGGTCTTAAGCCCGACTCCTATTCCTCAACAGTAGACTCAACTGAGATGGGCTGTATCAAAATAGCTCCTTTATTAGCGCCTTGGGCCAAGGTCAGGGGTGGAGTGTATCCTCCTGGCCTATGAGGACATCAAGCCCTGCTCGGTGTGCAGCTCCAGGTCTTTCTCCTCATGGGCTTTTAGGGGCTTGGAACTGGCCTGCAGGAGGTTAGTGTTCAGGATGGGAATCTACACTCACCCCCATGGCCACACGGTCACCTCCTACCCCATTACCACCTTGGGTAGACAGCCTGTGGGAAAGCCTCTCCCCACAGACCATCCTCTGAGGAGTCCCATGACACCCTCCCTTGTCCTCCTGCCCTTCCCCCCTCCCTTCAGTAGCTGTCTCTGTTCCCCGACACCCAGTTCTGGGGCTTACCACATCTCCTGGGCCAGCCTCTTCCTCTTGTGTGCTCTGGGCTTGGGCAGGGACCTGTGTTCCATGCTTTTCCAGCTCCTCCTTCAGCCTGCACAGGAAGAGGTAGGATGGGGGAAGGAAGAAAGAGGGACAAGAGGTTTTCAAGAGTCAGAGATAGAAGGTTGAGAGAGGAGATACAACATTGGTCACTTTCCTGGTGGGGGTTGAGGGGACAGGCCTCCACACACACCTCTGCCGCTTCTGCTGCAGTTGCTGGCACTTCTGCTGCAGCTGCTGGTGGCGTTGGGCAGCAGCTGCTAGGAGCTCCTCAGCCTTCCTGTGCTCTTCCTGAAACAGCTGCCTGGGGGGCCCAGGAGGGGTGGTTAGCACTGGTCACTTCCTCCTCCCCCTCCTTCACCTCCACATCTTACACTGTGGCTGCTGCCTCCTGGCTGCGGAGAAAGAGCCCCTCATCAAGGGTGGAGGGGCCCTCAGCACCACACAGGGAGCACAGCTGTTGCTTCACATCTTCCAGCTTCGCCTCGACCAGCTTCTCTGCAGCACGAAGGGGCAGGTGAGCACATGAGGTTATGTGAGGTCAGATAAGGGCCATCCACCTTCCCTGGCCTCACCTTCCTTGAGCAGCTCCTCCTTGCTGCTGTCCAGGGTGCAAATCTCTCTTGCTAGCCGCTCTGGCCTCTGAGGCGGGCAGAAAAGAGGTCTGTCCACACCTCTTGGCTTTCTCCCATGCCTCGAAGAAGGCTATCTGGATCTTCTTTTGTACTTGCTCACCATGCCTCACTTCCAGCAACTCTGCCCCTCTGTGCATACTAGCCACAGCCAGCCTCAGGCCCATGGTACTGGTCACTCCCTCCCTGTGCCCTTCTGTCACCCTACATCCCTGCAGTGCTGCAGTGGGGAGGCTCATGGATTGTTATTTACAACAGAGAAAGCTGCAAACACTATGAGTCTTGGCTGTTTTCTGGAGGGTCAGACACCAGTTCGGCTCTGCAGCTCCTCCCCACTCCCCTCCGTCCTGGTGGAGTCTCCTCACTGAGCCCTTCCCTTCTAACACTCACTGTCTATTTTCTTGTTCAGTGCCTGGGATCCTCCTGGGGGGCAAACATTGGCTGCTTGTCCTCATTGTCTCCCTTGTGCCCATGATGGTCCCAGACATATCCACAGACATTGATGGAAGACTTGACCTTGGTTTGATCAGAGATCCCCCTGACCACTGAGTGGACCCAGGAGGGCAGCAGGGCCATGAGGGTAGTGACAAGGGACTGGATCCGGGCAATGTTGGTCTTAGCATCACCAGGGCTTGTTCAGGGACTGGATGTGGCAGGTGAGAGGAAGAAGTGACCCTTTGGGCCTGGTGCTGCTAGGGAAGATGTGGAAGTGGGAGGAATGGCTTTGAGGGACTCACGTGGAAGTCCCAGAGGTCCTTGTGTTGCCCCATCAGATCTTCCAGCTGTTCCTCGAAAGCCAACCTGGGGGCCAACCACAGGCATGAAGGGATATGGGCTGAGATCATCACCTTCACAGCCTGTCCACGTCTGTGGGTCTTCTGGCACAGACATTGGGGTGCTTTGCCCATGGTCTTGCTCCACTGGGAGCATCTTCACCACCTTAACCCTCCAAGGCTCAGTATAGCCAGCTCTTCTAACCCCCATCTTTGATATTATACCCCAACTACCAGCCATCCAAACCCCCTGCCTCAGGTGCTAAGGTTTACCTGAGCTGTCTCTGTTTTTCCTTCTGTTCTTCGATCTGTAAGTTCAGGGCAGAAATTCTCTCCTTGCACTCCTGCAACATGGTATGCTTCCTGGGAGAAGCAAGGCAGCCCTCAGCCATGTTCTCTTAAGCCCTGGGAGAGTGCTGAGCTGGGGCTTCTGCCTCCCTCTATTGAGGCTATTTTTTCTTTCCTACCTTAAGGTCCTTCTCTGTAACATGTGATGGGTAGGGGGTAATGTGAGCATTTGCCCCGTGTAAGTACTGTTGTCAGGTTAAGAGAGATTAGTGCAGACATGGTCAAGTGAGCAAATGCACACATATCATATCATCTGGTTTCCCCAAAGAGCTGAAAACTCAAGTGTGCCGGGGCCTGGGGCCTCTGGTAAGAAAATAAGCTAAATAAGCATTCGGGAAGTGGGGAAATGGATGGACAAATAATTGGGTGGATAAAAAGATAATGGATGGAGAGACAATGGACAAATGGTTGGTTCAATGCCTAAATGAACAGATGAGTGAATAGACAGCCAAGGAGGATGACAAAGAGTAAAAGGCAAAGAACAAAAACCAGCTGAAGAAATTTAATTGGTAATTTGGCAAATGAGTGTCTATGCCATTGAGATAGTTACCCTTAACACTACTGCCTGCTGTTGGAGCCGAAGGGGAAGGACACTCTTTGGACACTCCATTGTTTAGAGGGAGAGAATGAGAGCTGTGGGTCTGAGGGCAGGGTTAGGCTCAGCTGGAAGCTCTTACCTCTGTGCCTCACTTTCCTTCTCCTGGCAGTGCAGCCGGAGGATCCTCAGGGTCTCTACAGGGAGAGCAACAAGGCCCTATGAGAACCTGTCAGGGTACTGGGTTGTGGTAGGGGGAACGGGGCCAGATCACGTCAGATCTGTGGACACCTGATTGAGCTTTAAAATTTACTGCAAGTCTGGTGGAAGCTACAGGAGACAGGCAAACTTCAAAAGGCTTCAGCTGCCATAGGGAGAGTGGGCTTCTGTGGGGTGGCAAAGGCACAAGCCTGGAGAGAGGGGAGCTGCAGATACCTTGCTTTTTGCTCAAGATCTCCTTCAGGCGTACTTTCTCTCCATGCACTGGAAAACAGTGATGCATTTGGGCATCAGGAACTACCCACTGCACCCTCAGGGATGGAGCTTGCTCACAGTCACATGGGAAGTTGGGCACAGCCTTGCCCCCAACCCAAATGTGAACCCTCCGAGATGAGCACCTCCCTATCCTCTGGTGCCCACATTCCCTGTAAGCACCAAAGGGACTTCACATTTACAGAGGGTGGCTGTGAGGGCCAAGCAGGATGCCCATGCTTTTACGTAGGGAGGAGAGAAAAAATACAAACACCCATGAAGTGAGATTTAGGGCTGTGAAGAAACATATCGAATAGGGAGGGGCACATGAACAGATGGAGGCAGGGCGCCATCTCTAGATGGGATGTCTGGGGAATGCCAGTCATCTTATCTGGGGACATTCTAACTCAGAGCTGATGACATGAGGAAAGAGGAATCTGTATTATCCACGGAAGCACAGGTAGCACCTGGCAAAAGCCCTGAGGTGGGAGTGAGGTTGGAGGGTGCTTCCTGAACACTCCCACAAGCAGAGAGGAGAGGGGGAGATTGGCAGGAGAGGGTACAGGACCCTTGGCCATGGCAAGGACGCTGATCATCTGGAATACAGCGTTTGGGGAGGCTTGAGACACTGTGGGGACCTCTGGGTGACCCCTGGCTCCCTTACGTGAGTCCAGTTCCTTCTGCAGGGCTTCACAGATGCTCTGGGCCTCTCCTAGGTCTTCATTGGCCTTCTTTTTCGCTTCATCAAAAATCAGAAAGACATTGTGTGGGGGCAGCCTCTACCTGCACTATTCTCTTGCCAACAGTGACATTTCTCATTTGCCTTCAGGTAAACACATAGTTGTCTAACTTTTATAGAGTAAGAAACAAGACTTCCAGAGTCCAGGCTCTTCTTGCCAGGCTCTGTTGATAGCAGGGCCAGGATCATGGGCATATGACTATGGCAGCTGCATGCAGAAATGTCCTGTACTTAATTTAAGGCTCTGCTGTTGCTGTTGTGAATAACCAGTAACTTTGGACAAGGGACCCTGCACTCTCATTTGGCACTGAGCCCCACAAACCGTGTAGCTGGTCCTAGTTGGCAGCCAAGGCCCCTGAACTCACCTTGCTGGACCTCATTAATCCGGTTAATCAGGACCTCAACTTGGGGCTCTGGGCTTCCCACTGCAGGGAGAAAGGAGGTTGAGTTGACAGAGCAGGTAGAGGTGAGGCGGTTGCCAGCCTTGTGTCTCTGTTGCTTTCATGCAACACAGATCTATTGAGTACCTATGGCAAGCAGGTGCTGTGTGGGGCCCTCACAGGGCTCAAGTTCTGGGTGGGTGAGACTGGGAATAGACACAATGAGATACCGCGTGGGGCTGTGGTAACTCTGTTCAAGAGAAATAAAGTAGGGCAAGGGGGGTTAAAGAGCAAGGAAGTGGGAAGTGCTCCTCAGACATGAGAAGGTGTCATGACAGCCCCAAATCAAGTGGCAGGGGGCAGGCCCTGAAGCTCTTTGGGTGGGGGTGGGAGGTAGTCAGTGCAAAGACCCACCCTGAGGTGGGAACATGGCTGGCAGTAGCCTAGTGAGCAAAGAGGGAGTAGCAAGAAGTTTGGGACAAGGTTTTTGGAAAACATTTTGCCTTCTATACCCCTTTTCTTCTTTAATTTTGAATCACGGAGCCCTATTTTTAGTTTATGTAATTAAATTTTAAAAGAAAGAAAAGGTGAAGAGGATTATTTCCCAAGTCAGACCCCACATCAGCCTGGCCCCAAACTTCAGGCTGAGCCTCACACAGATGAGACACATGACCTTTCTGCAGCCTTTTCACCATTTCCATCAAGTCTTCAATTTTCTGTGAGGATGTATCCTGCCCTGTGGAGACAAAACCAAACTTTTCAGAATCCAGCAGGGAGAGAGGCCAGAGGAAGGATCTGACAGCACTGGACTGGGACTGAGGTGGGCCAAGGGCAGGTCTCCAGCCAGAGTGGTGCCCCTGCTCCTTGTCCTGAGGTGGACAGTACACTAGATGAATTGGGCTCCTCCACTGTCAGCTTTTCCCTGTTAGGGTAAAAGTATTACAGATATCCTCTTTGTAAAACTCTGGGTGAGGGCAGGGGCATACTCTCACTGCTGAGGCTATTCAAAGTAAGGTCAAAGCTCCTGATGTAATAAATCAAGTAAAAAAAAATGAGGGCATAAAAAAACTGGAGCAAGGAGTCAAAAATCACTGGAACTGGCAGATGGCATAATCTAGGAAGTTCTTAGAGAGTTTTCCACAAAACCATAAGGATTAGTAAAAAAATGCATTAAGATGTTAGGTTAAAGCATATATAAATACAAATAGCTTTCCTATATACAACCAATACCAAATCAGAAATCTCCCCATAAAATAATATTTCATATGAATTTTTTTGTAATCATTATTGGAACCTATTTTTAACACTCTAATAAATTAGTAGGTCGAAGAAATTACTATTTATGGCACTAACATTGTGAAAGGAAAATCAATCTTTTTATAAAATAAATCTTTGAAAATAAATGAATTCAGTGTCATCCCTCTGCTCACTGAGATAAACAGATATCTGATTGTCTCCTTTGGAAGGCTAATCAGAAACTCAAAAGAATGCAGCCACTTGTCTTTTAACTACTTATGACTTTGAAGACCCCCCCACCCCACCCCACTTTAAGTTATCTCACCTTTGCTTCGAGTGGTCCCACCTTTCCAGATTGAACCAATGTTCATCTTACATATGTTGATTCACGTCTCATGTTTCCCTAAAAACCACAAAACCAACATGTGCTCTGACCACCCTGCCACCCTGGGCACATGTCATCAGGACCTCTGAGGCTATGTCACAGGCATGCGTCCCTACTTAGGCAAAATAAACTTCCTAAATTGACTGAGACCTGTCTCTGATTTTTGATTTTCACATTTTGGCAACCACAAAGGGATGCTGAGTAGCAGTGCCCCTGACCTTTGACAAATACCCTATCAGTGCTTGGTAGCAGTTTGAGCTATCTTTACGTCTCAAACTAATATGACAATCTGCAGAGGTCTGGAAGCCCCCTGTCCAGGGAATCCCTCATCTTCCAAAATTTGTTTGAGATCCAAAGTATATTTTGCTGTACAACTCTTTTTTCTTTTTCTCCTTCCTCCCTCCCTCTCTCCTTCCTTCCTTTTTTTTCTTTTCTCTTTCTTTCTTTCCTTTTTTTCTCCTTCCTTCCTTCTCTCCTCCTTTTTCTTTCCTTTCTTTCTTTCTTCTTTCTTGGAGTTGGAACTTGCTCACAACAGGAAAGACAAGTTTGAGGGTTTTTTTCCTGTTTCTAAGATGATAGAGAGCAGTCTTCAGCCTAAGACCCATCCTTAGGTAAGTAATTGAATTGGGGTTCGTCTTGGCTAAAGATAAGATTAACAACCAGCTGGTCTTAATTTTTCCTTCCCATCAGAGTGCTCAGTAATCATATAAGTTGTCAGACCATATGCTTGTTTTGCTTAACTGGGTTTTTTTGGTGTTTGTTTCTGTTTTTGCTATTGTTTTGGTCCTTTTCCCATTGGGTTTGACCAATTCTATCTCACTGGATCAAATCCAAACGAAAGTTCCAAATTATGTGGAACAAGCCCTCTGAAGTGGTTAACTTCCCATCAAAAAAGGAGGTGATGTGGGGGAAAAATGGACAGTAAAAGGAAAAAAGTGAGGGAAAGATTTTTGATCTTGACCACTTAAGGGGCTTTATTTACATAACAAGGCCACCTTTTTGCTAGCCAGGCCAAACTGAAAGAGCAAGGATTGTCATCCCATACTGCAGTTCCATAGCTAAGGTTCTGTCTTCTTTTTTCTATGACAGCCTGGGTTTGGTTCCTAAATCAATATCTTTCTGGTTTGATACTTGCTACTTGTAAAATAGCAGCTATTCATCCTAGCTGAAATATGTTGATGAGATTTAAAAATATTTTTTAAAAGAAACTCAAATGGTTAAAAGTCAGCTTAATTAAAAGCTAACATCCAAGATGTGTGTGTGTGTTTGTGTATTTAAAAGGCCTTCATGGGCCGGGTGCTGTGACTCACGCCTGTAATCCCAGCACTTTGGGAGGCCGAGGCGGGTGGATCACGAAGTCAAAAGATCGAGCCCATCCTGCCCAACATGGTGAAACTCCGTATCTACTAAAAATACAAAACTAGCTGGGTGTGGTGGCGCGCGCCTGTAGTCCCAGCTACTCGGGTGGCTGAGGCAGGAGATTTGCTTGAACCTGGGAGGCAGAGGTTGCAGTGAGCCGAGATCATGCCACTGCATTCCAGCCTGGCAACAGAGTGAGACTCCATCTCAAAAAAAAAAAAAAAAAAAAAAAAAGGCCTTCATGGTTTTTCTTTCTCTCCTAGGACCCTGTGTTTTGAGTAAAAATTTTTTTTTTCTTCTTAATTGACTGAATGCTGTTTTCTTCATCTACTTCTGCTGTTTCTCCTTTCTCTTGCACCCTCTGCTGCATGAGGGACCTAAAATAGTTTATAATAGCCCGAGGTTCCTTAAAGAAAGCAGAGAAGGCGCCAGACTCCCTTTGCAGAGAAAACTGTTTTCCTCATGCAACCCTAAGAGTGTAAAGAGACAAGTTCATCTCAGCTCTTAAACTGCTTGTGTTTGTATTGTGTTACCTGATTTTTTTTTTTTTTAATAGTTATTGCAACAAAGGCTACTTTTGGGTTTTTAAGGAAGAATATATTTTAGATACTTCGAAATATCTTTGTTTAAAAAAATGTTTTTTTAAGTGCACTCTAAAAGCATCCATGTGGTCTAGCCTCATAGTTCTCCCTTTTTGGAGACCCGGAATTCAGTGTGGCCTCTTCCCAGAGCTCAGAGATCTAGTTAAAAGATAGGTAGTCCCTATCTAAATAAAACTGGTCTCCTGTGATCCAACCACCTCCCACCAGGCCCCACCGCCAACACTCGGGATTACAATTCAACATGAGATTTGGGTGAGGAAACAGATCCAAACCACATCACAGGCCAAGGCTGAGGCATGGTTGAAAAGGCTCAGAGGTGCCTGATCAAAGTTTGTCACAGTTTTGATTGATATTACCCAATTACTCTCTACTGACGTATACAAGATGCCCAGGATTTCATTTTTACCAATCACCTATGTTTTCCAATGTGTTCATCTTTGTCAACCAGGTATGCAAAATTAAGGTGTTTCCTTACAAACTTTGATAGCAAATATCAAAAGTTTGGGTGCATCTTCTTTTCTAAGACTATGTCCTAAGTAAGTGTGGATATGGATAATGGGCAAGGTTTTCATCACTATATTGTTTATAACAGTGAAAAACTGCAAGAAGCCTAAATATGCCTTAGGGGATTTGTTAAATAAGTTATAGCACACACACAAGATGAAATTGGTTACAGCCATTAAAAGTCATGCATACATGCAGAAGGACAGGTTCAGTGGTTCACATCCATAATCCCAGCACTTTTGGGAGGCTGAGGCAGGACTGCTTGAGCATATCAGTTCAACAGCAGCCCGAGCAACATAGCAGGACCCCATCTCTACAAATAAAAATTTTTAAAGAATTATCTGGGTGTGGTGACATTCACCTGTGATTCCAGCTACTCAGGAGGCTGAGGGGGGAGAATCGCTTGAGGCCAGGTCAAGGCTGCAGTGAGCTGTGATTGTACTACTGCACTCCAGCCTGGGCAATAGAGCACAACCCTGAAGTTAAAACACCTCTTAAAACAAAAGGTACTTGTAAAATAGCAGCTATTCGTCTTAGCTGAAATATGTTGATGAGATTTTAAAATATTTTTTAAAAGAAACTCAAATGGTTAAAAGTCAGCTTAATTAAAAGCTAATATCCAAGATGTGTGTGTGTGTGTAAGTGTGGATATGTTGATTCATATCTCAACATATGACATGAATAATAAAAAAAAATCAAGCATAAAATTTTATGAAATGCCTGTTTTTGAGTTGACGGAGTCCCCTCATTTTGGTCCCATCTGAAATCTTATACAAATCACTGCTCATAAGTTTTTGTAATAAGTTTTAAAGTATTCAAGTAATTGGCATGTGTGAAAAAGCATGAAGGAAAATGGAAACACCAAATTCCCTTTCCCCATTTATTCCCGTTTCTTGTAATAACTGCAGCCAGTTAGGTGAAGACTAATAGACCTTTTACTAAAATGTATCTAGCATCACTGATAACTAGGTAACATCCCTGTTTCCTTTTTAAAACAGATAGACTAAAACTGGAAATTTGTCCTTTAAATTTCTTCCATAGCTGGTTGCTATAGACTGAATGTTTGTGCCACCATCCACAATTCGTATGTTGAAATCCTAACTCCCTAGTGTGACTGCATTAGGAGGTGCGGCCTTTGGGAGGTGATTAGGTCATCAAGGTCGGGCCCTCAGAAATGGGATTAGTGCACTTAAAAGAGACTCCAGAGAGCTCTGCAGCAAATCCCCCCACATGAGGACACAATGAGAAGACAGAAGTCCATAACCAGGAAGCAGGCCCGCACCAGAAGCTGAATTGCACCTTGATCTTGAACTTCTAGTTTCGAAAACTATGAGAAATAATGGCACTTCTGTTATAGCAGTTTGAAATAAGGCACCAGCAATGTTGATTAAATCCCATCTAAATACACTAGGTTATGGGAGGAGCATGGAACCGTGATACTGAAAGACCACCCTGCCGGCGGGCTGGTCGGTACTTAATGAAAGGGAAACGTTTGCGTCTGTCCTGTTGACTTGCTGTGTCCTTCGCTGGGGCTGTCACTGTGCCAAACTCACTGCAGGCATGTTTTCTGTGCTAAGCTTGTCTCGGGATTCAAACCTTCGTTTTGTAAAAACACGACAGGGCACGTGCCGTGGACCAAGCCTGCGTCCGCACAGGTGGGACCGGAGGCAGCCACGGCAGGGCTTTAACTCGGGGCACGGATGAGCTCAGGACAGGTGACAAGCTGAGTGACAGCAGGGACGTCCCCGTCCGTACAGCTCTCCACTCGCAAAACGCCCGGCGGCCCACGGCGCCCCACGGCGCCCCGACGGGGAGACGCCGGGAGAACCTGCAGCTCCCGGGCTTCCGCAAGTCCGGCGGGTGCCTCGTCCCTCCCCTCCCCGGCGAGCGGCGCCACTGCGGCGGGTCGGGCCGCGGGGAAACGGCCGAGAGCTGCGCGGACCCCGCCTCCCCCTCTCCACCGGGCGTCGGTGCCGCGTGCGGGGACCCCCTGTCCGGGAAACCCGGACACCTGCCGGTTCTAGGGAGAGGAGGGCGAGAAATTCCCCGGGGACCGGGAGCGTCAGGAAGGGTCCTCGTGTCCTAAGAGGCGTGCACGGAAAGTCTGTGGGACGGAGGGAGAGGAACCAAGACGGGAGCAACTGCCATCGAAGCTCAGCGCGTTAAAACGAGGCGGGGGAGGGCAGCGCAGCCGACACGGTTCTGAAGAAACCCGCTAAGTCCCCATCGGCGCCGTCGGCACCGGGCAGAAGAAGCCGCCGCCACCCTGCCCCGCCTCGGTGAGGTCAGCCCCCTGCGCACAGTTCTCTGCCTCCCACCACTACCTCCGTCCTTCTCTGCCCTGTCCATGGCTCCCGCGGCGGGCTCGGCCGTTGACGCCAGGGACCTGCCGGCCATTTCCTCTCAACTCGCCAGCACCGCCGCCTTCGGAGCCACCTGATTGGAGCAAACCCTGCGGGGTGGGAGGGGAGGCGGGACTCTGGGCAGCGCGCCTGCGCAATGCAGTCCTGCGCGGTCTCGAGCGGTAACGGTCCGGCGCACTTGCCCAGAAGCTAGTGCGCATGCGTAAAGGCGCAAGGGCAACTATCCCGGCGTGAAGCCTGCGAGGGCCACGTGCGTCCAGGCTTGTCACTGGTCCGGTGCCTGGTGCCCCCGCGCAGGTGTGCGGGCCTCCCTGGGGGCTGGCCCTGGTTCTGCAGCCCCGCTCAGCGAGCAATGTGCATGTGCCGAGCCACCGCTGCCTGTGAAGCATGTGTGTCTCACGGACACTGTGGCACTGTGGCTTCAGCAGCCTCACGAGGTCAGGGCTATGCCGGTTAAGGGGTTAGGATTAGGAGATTAAGGTTACAGTTAGGGTTGGGGTTCAGGGTTAGGAGTTAGGGGATTGGGCTTGGGCTAGGGTTGGGGTCAGGGTCAAGGTTAGGGGTCATAGTTAGGGTTACAGCTAGGTCTAGGGTTAGGTGTTAGGGTTAGGGGCTAGGGTTAGCGTTTTAGAGTTATGGTTAGTGTTTTACGGTTAGGGTTAGGATGAGGGCCAGAGTAAGAATTAGGGTGAGGGTCATGGTGATGGTGAAGGTCAGGGTCAGGGTTTAGGGTTAGGGTTTAGGGCTAGGGTCAGGGTTTAGGGTTAGTGGTTAGGGTTAGGGTTTTAGGGTTGGGGTCGAATTGGGGTTTAGGGTTAAGTTTTGGGTCCAAGATTAGGGGTTTGGTGTTAGGGTTGGTGCTGGGGTAGGGGTTAGTGTCAGGGTTAAGGGTTTATGTTTTACGGTTGGGGTTGGGTTTAGGGTTAGGGGTAGGGTTACGGTTAATGTTTAGTGTTTGGGGTTTCTGGTTAGGGATTGTGGTTAGGGTTAGGGTCAAGGTCAGGGTTGTTCACTAGGATTAGGGTTTTAGGGTTAGGGTTACCATTTTAGGGGTAGGGGTTTGGGGTACAGATTGTGGTTGAGGTTAACATTGGGTTTAGGGTTAGGGGTTAGGGTTATGTTTAGGGTTTATTGTTAGCGTTAAGGGTTAGGGAGTAGGCATTAGGGTTAGGGATTAAGGATTAGGGGTAGAGGTGGGGTTGGTATTAGGGTTGGGGTTAGGGTTAGGGTTAGATGGCACTGACTTAGAGTGGAAAATGTTTAACCCCAAGAGATGCCTACAGAGGCAGCTGAGCCACACCACAGACTCCTAGAAGGGCTTGTGTTAGGGTTCCCAAGTTTCTAGGTAAGCAGAGGAGATGGAGAGGCAGATACAGAACAGTTGGTTCAAAGCATGTTGGGAAGTGTGATCCCATAACCCCCTCATTCCACACTGGCCCTCAAATATTCCTCCCTGACATCAGAAAAATAAACAATTTATTTTCTTCAGACATCAGAACAGAACTTTTCTAAGCTCCACGATGCTGGGTAATGCTGCTTATGCAAACAGAGTAGTGAAATCCAATTTACTAAGCAGAGCAATCTGCTGACTCTTTCTCCCTTTGGCTCCCAGAATGCTGGGGTCAGGCTTGCATTCTTAGGAGATTGGTGAACTCTTTTTGGAGATCTGCAGATACCAATACTTTCAGGGTTTCCTCAGGTCCAGGAGTGACAGACTCCCATGCACTCTTCCTTTGGGGAAGCAAAGGAAGACTCCATCTGTGCATACAGAATGCATTAATTATATTTTCTTATATTCTGTTTTACTGATGCTCTAGCATCTGGGGTTTACTGGGAAAAGATTGCCTTTCCCATGACCAGCCCATTAAACTACCAGTCTAGAACCCGTACTCCAAACCACTTACCTTATCTGCTCTGATACTATAGGAGAAATTGCCAACCTTCCCTAATCACCCTAGGGTCAGGTACTAGGCAACTAGAGATGGCCCCTATGCCCCAGAGCCTGCTGAAGTTATTCACACTGGCCAGTCTAAGCCTGCCTGCCCTGCTGGGCCTTGTTGTCCCTCAAAGGCCACAGCAGAGGCTCCTGCCCATGCCTTCCCCTCTCTCCTTCTGCTTCTGCCCAGGCTTCCCTGTGCCTCCTATTTCTAGGGGTCTGTGAGTATGAACGTATTTCCATGGGGCAGTCACTTCCATGTCTGCAGACCTTAATATCACTGATTAAAACAAATTCTGAGTACATTTTAAAATGTAAGGGTTCCAATGGAATTTTTAAAACCCTTATATGGAGAATTTTAAACATATATGTTAATAAACAATTAATAAAACCCCTATATATCTATAACCCTTCAGAACAACCAAAAACACATGGCCAATTCTGTTCCCTCTATATTCCCAAATAAAATTCATATGTCGTGATTAGATGATGTGTTTTTAAGTCTATATAAGGTATACATTTCCCCTATATCCCCTGTATATCATTTTCTTGTAATTTATTTGTTGAAGAAGCTGCATTGATTTTCCTGATTCATATTCAGAGAAAAAATAAAAGCAGAAGAAATAAAAATGTCAGAAAAGAAATCAATGGGATTTAAATGGAACAGCTGCTTTGGAAAACAGTCTGGAGGTTTCTCAAAAAGTAAGACATAGAATTACTCTTTGACCCATCAATTCTACTGAAGTCTTCATACTGAAGAGAATTAAAAACATATGTCCACACAAAAACTTGTACGCAGATTTCCATAGCAGCATTATCCATAATAGCCAAAAAGTAGAAACAACCCAAATGTCCACCAACTGATGAGTGGATAAATAATATGAAGTATATGCACACAATAGAATACTATGCAGTCTTAAAAAGGAATTGTGGCCAGAGGCTGGAGGAGGGAAAAATGGGAAATACAGTGTTTCTTTCTGGAGTGCTGAAAATGTTTTAGAATTAAATAGTGGTGAAGTCTGTGCTACTTCCAGAAAGTGCTAAATTGTACACTTTAAATGAGTAAAATGTAGTATTTGGATTTTATCTCATTTTAAAAATCAAAAACATTTTCCAGAAATAAAGTTTATGAATTTTCAGATTTAAAAGATCCGTTGAGTTCCCCTCAAAATGAATTTCAAAGTTCTACACTAAAGCACATTATTGTGACATTTGAGAACATCAGAGCTAAAGATCTGAAAAGCTTCCAGAGAGGTGAAAGAAAAAGATCACCTGGCTTTGCTGGCAATATGGCCAAATAGGAAGAGCTGTGGTCTGCAGCGCCAAGAGAGATAGATGCAGAAGGTGGGTGAGCTCTGCATTTCCAACTGAGGTACCTGGTTCATCTCACTGGGACTGGTTGGACAGTGGGTGCAGCTCACGGAGGGCGAGCTGAAGCAGGGTAGAGTGTCACCTCACCCGGGAAGTGCAAGGGGTGGAGGGATTGCATTCCCCTAGTCAAGAGAAGCTGTGAGAGACTACACCAGGAAGAATGGCATATTCCAGCCCAGATACTGCACTTTTCCCAACAGTCTTCATAACTGGCAGACCAGGAGATTCCCTCCAGTGCCTATGCCACCAGGGCCCTGGGTCTCAAGCACAAAACTGGGTGGCCATTTGGGCAGACACCAAGCTAGTGGCAGGAGTTTCTTTTTCATACCCCAGTGGCACCTGGAATGCCACTGAGATAGAACTCTTCACTCTCCTGGAAAAGGGGCTGAAGCCAGGGAGCCAAGTGGTCTGGCTTGGCAGGTCCCACAGAGCGCAGCAAGCTAAGATCCACTGGCTTGAAATTCTCACTAGTAGCAGAGCACTTTGAGGTTGACCTGGGACACTTGAGTTTGTTGAGGGAGGGGCATTTGCCATTGCTGAGGCTTAAGTAGGTAGTTTTACCCTCACGGTGTAAACAAAGCTGCCTGGGAAGTTTGAACTGGGTGGAGTCCACCTCAGCTCAGCAAGGCCACTGCTGCCATACTCCCTCTCTAGATTCCTCCTTACCTGGGCCAGGCATCTCTGAAAAAAAAGGCAGCAGCCCCAGTCAGCAACTGATAGATTAAAAACCCCCATTTACCTGGACAGAGCACCTGGGGGAAGGGGTGGCTGTGGGTGCAGCTTCCACAGACTTAAACGTCCCTGTCTGACAGCTCTGAAGGGAGCAGTGGATCTCCCAGCACAGCATTCGAGCTCTAATAAGGGACAGACTGCCTCTTCAAGTGGGTCCCTCACCCCCATGTAGCCTGACTGGGAGACGCCTCCCAGTAGGGGCCAACAGACACCTCATACAGAAGAGCTCTGGCTGGCATCTGGAGGCTGCCCCTCTGGGACAAAGCTTCCAGAGGAAGGAACACGGAGCAATCTTTGCTGTTCTGCAGCCACTGCTGCTGACACCCAGGCAAACAGGGTCTGGAATAGACCTCCAGCAAACTCAAGCAGACCTGCAGCAGAGGGGCTTGACTGTTCGAAGGAAAACTAACAAAGAGAAAGGAATAACACCAACATTAACAAAAAGGGCGTCCTTTCATACCCCATCCTAAGGTCACCAACATCAAAGACCAAAGGTAGATAAATCCACGAAGATAGGGAGAAACCAGCACATAAAGGCTGAAAATTCCGAAAACCAGATTGTCTCTTCTACGAAGGATCACAACTTGCTGGCAAGGAAACAAAACTGGACAGAGAATGGATTTGATACATTGACAGAAGTAGGCTTCAGAAGGTGGGTAATGGCAAACTCCTTTGAGCTGAAGAAGCATGTTCTAACCCAATGCAAGGAAGCTCAGAATCTTGAAAAAAAGGTTAGATGAATTTCTAACTAGAATAGCCAGTTCAGAGAAGAACATAAATGATTTGATGGAGCTGAATGAGAACTTTGTGAAGCATACACAAGTATCAACAGCAGAATCCATGAAGCAGAAGAAAGGATATCAGCGATTGAAGATCAACTCAATGAAATAAAGTGAGAAGAAAAGATTACAGAAAAAAAAGAGTGAAAAGAAATGAACAAAGCCTCCAAGAAGTATGGGACTATGTGGAAAGACTAAATATTTGTTTGATTGGTGTACCTGAAAGTGATGAGAAGAATGGAACCAAGTTGGAAAACTCTTCAGGATATTATCCAGGAGAACTTCCCAAACCTAGCAAGGCAGGCCAACATTCAAATTCAGG